TTTCACTCCAGCTGCCTCTTATCCAAACAAAACATTTTTGTCAGCAATGGCCCAGAGATGCTGCTTGAGGCAAAGGACAAAATGGTACCTCCATTCCGAAAGTGAAATTTGACTAGAGTGGCAGCTATATCTTACATCGTCATCAAATAACAAGCATTTTTCACAGTTTCTAAGGAGATTAGCCTAATTTAGGAGGTATGGGGCAGCTCCTGAGGTGTACACTGCTCTGGCACTGCCTGTGGTATACATTCAATTGGAACAGACCAACCCTAGGCCTTCAGTGAGAAGGGCACTTGGAACAAACATGGTCTTGCATCCCCATTCAACACAACAGCTGAATTCCAAACTAGCTAGAAGCGATTTGCATAATATCTAAACTCATGACAGGAGCTAAAGTCAAATCTAAAGAGCAATTTTAGCATAATCTAAATATATACAAAGAAATGATGCCCTCTTGTTGTATAACAAGAAGCTTGACCTAGAACTATTTCTGCAGTTAAGAGGAAAGCAGCCTTTGCAATTCCTACTGCTTTAATTACATTAAGTGTACTATTGTTTCTTCGAAATTATAGTAATTAAATGTGCAAGTCTTCCTTGAAATCATTTAATTAAACAATTGCTAGCCCTTTATTCCTTTTGGAATGCTAATGTATTCACTTTAACTCAGACATTTTTTTCATCCTTAATCTTTGTAAGATTATCAGTCATTTTCTCTCTGGATTTTGGGACAACTTGGTAGAGGACAAACTGAGAGCAATCTCTTGTTGTTGTCCATTTCCCCCCCTCAGTGCTGGATTACCAAAAATATTTGATGCCAGTGATAGAAAGTTATGACCTTTCTGTAAAATTGTGGTTTCCATACTATGGTTCAGGCTATTTAGACTTTATGCCCTGTATTGATAAGTTATTAAATTAGATGAAGCAGAGCGTATTCACATCTGGCATAAATCCAGCAAAGAGACGGCATTGATTTGCACCAGCTGTGTGTTTGGTTGCCAAGTGGAAACATGGTTGAATCGTATGTTGCTAAATCAAGTGGGAACAAGGTTTCGTGAAGGTTGCAGGTTGGGCTGTTATGTGTAAGTTAAGATAGACAAGCAGAAGCAGAGAAAATTTTCATCATCACAGCATTTTTAAATATTGGCAGCATGGATGGGTGGAATAAGACAGTCCAGGACGAAGCAATTGGTATATGTGGATAATAGAGGGAATGATCCTTCTTGAAAAAAGGCATTTATATATACCAACCATAGGAAACACAGTATATTATTGACTAGGGCTGATGGAATTTGCTTTCAGCCCAGGAATATTTGGAGGACTGCAGGTTGCTCACCCTCATACTGCATAAATCAGCTCGATATGATGTAATTATGAAGCCAGGTAACAGCCTGCTTCTGCCATGACTTCAAGCTACCACCATGATACAGTATCCATGGAGTATGAAATTGTTATTTAATATTTCAGTGCAGTTTTTTCTTCCACCTTCTTTTCTTTGAAAGATTAAGAAAATGATCTGTTTTTAACACACAAGGGGAAATAAAATTGTTCTTCTTCCCCCACTCACCCTCGCAACAAACAGATAAATATTCTATTGTAAGGGAATCATAGCTGGCTGGATAGATAGCTCAATGGTTTAGATATCTGGCTGCTGAGCCAGAGGTTAAGAGTTCTATGCCTCCTGGGAGTAGAGCCAGCTTGTGTGGCCTTGGGTCACAGTCCCAGGGCACACCCAGCAGAAGGGAATGGTAAACCACTCCTAAGTATTCTCTACCTGGAGAATTCTGAAAAAGATCACTTTAAGTCAGAGTTGACTTGATGGCGCATGATTACTATTATTAAGGGCATCATAGTTGGTTTGGTGCTGTGAAATGGATGTTGGTCATCAAATCATTATTTTAACCACATTTTTCATCTCAGACTGTCAGGTGCTGGAGGACTTTTCCCTGCTGGCTAGTAGGGAACAAATTGATCTGTTTCCCCCAGTGCTTCAGCCTTTCGGACAGATTGTCAGGCTTCGTGTATATTCTAAAGATGGCCACTGGTAACCATGTCCTGAAGTGTTTCTGCCACCCACCATTTAGAAATGGTTGTAGCTGATTGGAAAGCCCTTCCTCACTGAGAAAATAACCATCAATGTATTGAACAACAAACAGTTACAAGATTGAAAACAGGCTCACCACAGCTTGACCAATGAAAGTAGCCTTTTGCCTAGATACCTGGACTTATTTATTAATTAATCCATTTGTTGTTGTGAATATGTCCCATTACTTCAAAGACTTAAGCTTTTTTTTTCAAGTATGATTTTGAAGACCAATCAAATGCTTTAAGTTTCAATCTTATGACTGTTTCTCATAATTGGCATCAAATTTTGAACCCTCTTAGAACTTACTTCTGTGTAGATAAGTATTGGATTCTATTTGTATGCCAGTTTAAATTTTATTTTCCATAAAACTGAAGATTTGGAAGGAAAGTTTCTGTGAAAGTTGCTTTTCTGAAAGTGGGGAATAAAATATAAAGGGGAAAAAAATCCATATTTTCTATTATTTGGAATTTTATTTTCTTGCCTGTATACAGCAGCAATTCTACACATATCATTGTAGATGGCTTTTAAAATATTATTTGAAGGAGCTCCTTCAGTCCATTCAGTGCTTCTCCAGAGGGACGTGGTGGCACTGTGAGTTAAACTGCAGAAGCCTTTGTGCTGTAAGGTCTGTAGATCTTCAGCTGTAAGATCGAATCTACGCGATGGAGTGAGTGCCCGCCGCTTGTCCCAGCTCCCGCCAACCTAGCAGCTCGAAAGCATGCAAATGCGAGTAGATAAATAGGGACCACCTCAATGGGAAGGTAACAGCATTCCGTGTCTAAGTTGCACTGGTCATGTGACCATGGAAGATTGTCTTCGGACAAACACTGGTTCTATGGCTTGGAAACAGGGATGAGCACCACCTCCTAGAGTTGAGCACAACTGGACAAAAATTGTCAAGGGGAACCTTTACCTTTACCTTTTCAGTGCATTAGGTGACAACTATAAATGGCCAGGAACTGGCAAACTGGTGGTTTGTGTGTTTTTAAGGGATCCATGCAGGGGGGAACCACCCATCCACCCCTTCCCTCATTGCTCCCATTGCTTCCCTATCTTCTCTTGAAGCCTTCACCTGCCATCATGGCAATCATCCTGACAGGCAGCAGACTATGCTTCAAGGACCTGGGCCTGCTACTTCTGCACAGGCACCTGTTGTTCACCTGAGTGGTGGGAGCATGCACATGTCCAGCAGGTCCAGGCTTGCTGTTTGTCAAGATGGTGGCAGTGGTGGCAGAAAAGGATGCAGTGGCAGCAGTTTGAAGCCAAGGTAGGGAGCCAGTGCAACAGTGGGAAGCAGGTTAGGCAGGCATCCCCTTTTAATGAAAAAGCAAAGTGCTGAAGGGGGAATAAGTTTGATGCTTCCTTTTGTTTTGGCATAACAGGATCCTTGAACCAAACCACAAACCAAACCACAAATCACCCCAGTTTTGGGTTTTTCTGGTTTGTGGTTCAGTTTGTGCCCATCTCTAGTGCCAACCTCTTCATTTGGAGGTCACCTGACTAACTGTGCTGTCCAGCCTAAGATTTGTTTTTTTGGGGCGGTTGGTTTTCGATTATTTTAACCGATAATTTTTTAGCATTTTGATTGATGGTAACTTACTGCTTTGTATTTTCATGACTATCTTGGTTATTTTTCTTATTTGTGCCTTCTACACATCATTTCAAGGTACAGTATTTTTTGAGATGCTGTAAGCGGTAGATAAATTAAGTCAATAAATAATAAATGTTTCAATCAATCTGGGATCATTTAGTGAACAATATTACATCAGGTGGTATTTGGCTGGGTAATAGCTTTCTTTCTCTGAAGGCAAAATGAAGCACTTATTCATCCCATTTAGAGTGAAGGCAATAGAAACATGTCTCCCTTCATAGCTAAGCAGGGCAGTGCTTTCTTGCTGCATTGTACAAGACAGTGTGTATATTTTCTTAGCGTGTACTTACATGATGACATAAGACAATTTATTCAACTCAAAACCATGGCTGAAATCTAGTAGTAAGTCACAACTACAGTAGACTCATTTGATAAACAGAGCTTATGAAAGAGTAAACTCAGCAAATCCCCAAAAATACATGATTGAATGTAATGTAGTGGAGGTGGACAGCATAAACTTTCAGTAGCTGCTGCTAGTTAGAGTGATTACAGAATAAGGCAAATGTTTATTTCATCTTCCTATAATGTTATCCTTCCAAGCAACAAATGTCTTCAAGTGCTCCTGAAAGAGATATCAGATATGGAAACAAAGCCATGTTGTCTTCCAACTGAGCAGTTACAAAACAAACGTCAGCTAGTTTGCCAAATGTTAATTGAGGGAAATTTGCATTAGAATAGACATATATTTCCTTCAGAAAGGTGTACTGTTTCTTAATCCAGGATCAGCTCTGAAACTAAGATTTACTTACTTATTTACCTAGCTGCCTTGAGTATTATTTTGTAAGAAACACAGTATACTAGTCTTTCTGGTAACCTTTATCTGTTTAGAAGATAGAAGATTAATCACATAATGTAACTGCCAGTATGGATATTACAAATTTATTCAAAACATTTGGAAATTTGAAAGCAGAATAATACGATCATATTTCCTTCTCTGGAAAGGTCAATAAAATATTTCAGCACTGAAGTGATATAATCTGTTTCAGTGGGTTAAATAACTATGATCTGCTTTGTAATTGCCTACTGTGGATACCTGGAACAGAAGAAAGTTTAACTCATCTCTTTTCCAAGGTGGAAATAGTGAGAAGCAGTGTATTTCATCTGATAATTTCTACAATTGTAATGGCAGTTTCTATTTTCCAGGTAATCCATACGTGCATCCAATTTTTGTTAATTTTCTATCCACCAGTAATATTTTCTAATGGGATTAATGGCATATATCTCTTTTCCTTTTTCTATTTTCCCCTCTCCCCCTCCCATACTTAGGATCTTTGGCCACCTCAATCTCCGCTCTGAATGGCAACTAGTTAAAGTAGATTACAGATCCATTTTTAGCCGGAGATGTACCAAAGATGACTTCCAGACATGGCATCTGCACAACCAGGTACTCTTTTTATTATCCAAAACAATGCAAGCCCAAGACATGCCTGACATGAAGGAAAAGGACCAGTCCATGTGCAAAAGCTGACCAAACTGACTTCGTACCTTACTTGAACCTTACCCCAGTGCTGTCAATGGGAGACAATTCTCTATCACACTTGAGGTGGAGTTGAGGGGAGTTGAAATGGGGAAGAACAGATTGTGTGTTTGTGTGTATGCATGTTTCTTTTCCCTTATAAGGAGGAGCAAGTAGTTGACAAGGAACAGGAATGAAACTGCCACTGCTGTCCCTTAGCATCTGTCATCTAGTTCCTAATAATTGGGCCAATCCTCTTCCAAAAGGAGCATTTGACTTGAGTCTGTGCACTTAACCCTAAGTGTTGTCACCAAAAAACAGATCCAAATAACTTGATTCTGTCAAAGACAGGGAGTAGACATATCTGAAAAGAAAGGACTCCATGTAAAATTTAATGACAAGACAAGACCCACCAAGTTATTAGTTACCAAATGTTGAAAGAGAACAGGTGTGTACTGTAGTTCTCAGCCTTGCAATGATATGTAGAAAAGGGATTTGAGTCTTTTTATGACTGTTTTCACAGGCAAAGATGATAAATTGTACATTTTCCCCCTCCTCATTTTGTGAAAAGCTACATATTTTCTACTACTACTGACTTGAGTGGTATAATTATACTAGATGGGCGGGATATAAATCAAATAAATAAATAAATAAATAAATTGACGATTTTGTGCACACTGTAAATGGAGCACATTGTATAACTTGCAAAGTGCTCAAATTAGCTGTTGCTTTGTTTCATTGACTTTCAAACAATTTAAGCATTGGATTGGTCTCTTGCCTCTTTTTCAAACAATCAGCTAGCCCCTCAATGTTGTCTCTGTGTGTGCACATGCAGCTGTGTGTGAGGAGCGACATTATTGTGTAGACTTTCCAGTATCTTCTGTGTGAATTACAAAACCTCAGGTTGTGAATCTTAATGCTTCTCGACCCCACAGCATTCTATGGGATTTCCCAGCCAGCAAAATGGTCTCAGTTTCTCCCTGTTAAATCCTGTATATAGTTCTTTAGATACTGGAAAGGAACTGATGCTATTCTCTCTGGGGTTCCTTATCAACACCCAGATAAATCTTACTGACCCTGTGGAAGATTACGTTTGAAAGTCCTGAACTGCTTATCCCTGTAGTAGTATCCCCTCCAGGATTTTTGAATCTATTTTGTTGCTCTTGTCACTTTCAGGCTCTTAAAATAGTCAGTTTCAGATGGTAGTGCATAATACCATGGGCTGAATAACACAAGAGTTTGAAACTGAGCAGTATGAGAAACTGAAATTGACAAGAACAGCAAAAAATGGGTACAAGCAGGCAGGAATGTCAATATTGTGCAGGAAATTGGCCAGAAAATGGTGGTGGTGGGAAGAGCATTTCTCCCACTGCCACTCCGGGAAAATTTCCTAGTCTCCAGGGGTGTGTGGATATTTTGCTGTTGCAAAATATCAAAAATCGTTGTGATTGAAAGAATTGCGGACCACTTGTTCCATCCCTAGCAAACATCTGGAAAGAGGAGAGCACTCTTTTTCCTCTCCTGAACAGCAGGCAGGGAATCTGTTGAGGCTGCAAAATGCTTCATCTAAAAGTGTGTTGCCATAGACAGATACCTTAAACCAGTGAGAATTAGGAATTCCGTGAAGATTTTCCCTTCTACTCTACTGTACAGAAAAGCAAAAATATGAGAAACAGATAGTCAGAACCAACTACACAAAAGGCAGAATGAATGGGAGTTATGATCCCATGAGAAAGAAAGACTGTCAGGAATATTTGCAGTCTCTCGTTGTACAAACACTAATTTTGATTAAAAATAGTATAGTCATTATGACTTGATTAATGATAAGATAACCTTAGAACTGAATTATAATTATGGAAGAAAGATAAGTTGTAATCCAAGTGAAGACATAGTACTAAAATTAGAAAGCGCTGAAACATATATTTAATTTTTTATCAACAATTTCTGGCATTATATTCAACAAAAACATTTCTGGTTTAAAAGTTATTTCTTGATCTATAATTTATTGTGAAATATCTGTCTCAAAAAATTATTTGCTTTATCGCAAGTCCACCACATATGAAAAAAAATTCCAGGTTGCTGAGAACACTTCCATCGTGAATTGCTTGGCCCTGATACCATTTTTTCTAATTTTGCAGGTGTATAATACCATCCATGCAACATCTTTAAGACATTTTCTCTCAAATTTACTGGTTTGGGTCATCTATAATTCTCATTCCACATTTGAATCCACTCATATACAGTATGTCTATATTGTATAAAGTTTCACTTTTCGATGGCCTAGTTGTGATGTTTTCTAGAAAGACTAAGAGAGATGCACACAGTTTGATCATTTCCCTTTCTCCATTCTAACTCACCATTCTTCTGCAACAAAGGGTGAACCTTGTGTTATGGGTGAGAGGAAGATCTATAAGAAGCGCAAAGCAGGGGCATGGTGCTCCCTCAGTAGAGATTACTCAAGGACAGTTGTCTCTGAACCTTGCATCTGTGCTGAATGGGACTTTGAATGGTAAGCCACATTATTTCTGATAAGTGTTTCCCCCTGCAAATCTGCTTATGCATTGTGGACTGATAAGACCAAAAGTCCATCTATTTTAGTTTTCTGTTTTCTCAGAGCCCTTGGGAAGCCACACACACACACACAAACACACACGCACACGCACACGCGCGCGCGCGCGCACGCGCACGCGCACGCACACACACACACACGCACGCACACACACACACGACATTGGTGTGGTAGCACTTTTCTAACTGTGTTTCCTAATAATTTTTATTTAGAGGCATACACTTCTAAATGTGGTTGCACTTTCAAAGGGAAGTAACCCTATCAAATTTCAGGCAAATAGATCTAGTCCTTCCTTCCTTTGTCCCAGACACTTTTAAAATTTCCCTTAGAACAGTAATAGCAAATGCATGATGTTTAAAGATCTGGCAGCTCCTTCAAAGGGAATTTTCTCTGCCAAATTGCAGACAGAAGAGTCTAGCTGGGGTTGTACGAACTGTCTTTAAGCTGTGCTTTAATATGTTTTCAGTTTGCTAATGTGTGCTGCTTTTCTCCACTATGCTCAGATGTGTGACATATGTATGCTGTTTGCACATGAAGACTCTGCAGTGAACACATAAACAGTACAGACACTCACAAGAGGAAACATCAAAATAAAACAACAACACACAGATTGAAATCAAACCCAAACCTAACTTTTAAAATAATTAGAACAAAATGGAAAATGTAGCAAAACTGGTAGCATAATAACTCTGTGACCACCATACTCAAATGAACAACAGATACAGAATAAAGAAAGGTGGGATTGAGGTGGCTAAGGGTTTTAAAAAGGTTAGTATAGTTAGTATTTGTAGCATGAAGAAGGGAGAAATATAGGTGAAAAACTGTGTCCAACACCAGCAAAGGTCTTTCCAAAGCTCCTTCCTTCTAAAAAACAACAACAACAATTATTTACCATCTCTCCTTCAGGCACTGTGATTAGAGGGTACTGGCTGTTGAGTTCCTTCCCCCCAATCTCATAATGAATTTGTGGAAGAGTCCATCTCTTCTGAGGTTTCTAATTTGTTTGACACTATGCTGGTGTAAAGACTGATACTGCACCAGCCCTGGCACAAGCTCTCCCATTGCTTGAGGGGGGAACAGAAGTGCTGATGCTTAAAAAAAGAGTGAGGCAGTTATGGGGATGGTCATACTATATTTGGACTTTTAGTAGTCAGCATGTGGTCCACAGCACACCCTGTGTTAGCCCATGCATGTGTTGGCTGAAGTGCAGGAGAAAAAACATTCTTCATGGCACTGTGTAGGCACCCTCAGAGGGATTAAATCAAAGATGGAGAAACAGAAAAAGAGTTGTGATTGCTAATGCATCAAGGCCAGGTATTTCAGTATCCCCAAAGATGTGGCCATCTCTTTGATTTATTTTTGACTTAGGGTGTGATCCATTGCAAAAAGTGCACCTCATCACACTAGAAAGGGTCACTTCAGTAGGAGCAGTCTCCCTTAAAGTGAGCTCCATGCGATCACATCCTTAATCCAAATGTTGCATGCATTTTCTTTCAGTTCTTTATTCAAAGCAATATGACTCAAATTGTCTAGAAGTGTTGAATTCTTATTCTGAAAAAAAACGGTGTAAACTCCCTCAAAGTTGCCTTTTGTACCTCCCAATGCAATGGACAAAATTGGGGTGAGGCGGGGCCCAGAAGCCATTTTCTCATCCTAGGGCTCCTGATGGTTGTAACAACCCATGCACATGCTATGGGAACTGCCATGCACAGCCGAGGGGCCACCGCCGAGAAGGCCAGGTTTCTAGTTTTTTCCTTCCGAGCCTCTCTCGGCATCAGGCCCCTCAGCCGTCCCTGCTGGCTATGGCAGGTGATTCGGGTAGATCTGGGTGGGAGAAGACGCCCTGCCAAATATTGAGGTCCCAAACCATTTAGGGCTTTATAAGTGATCATTAGCACTTTGAAGTCAACGTGGAAATGGGTTTGCAACCAGTGCAAAGCAGCCAGAGTGGGGAAGATGTGTTGGTGTTTTCTCACCCCACTAACTAGCCTGGCTGCTGCATTCTGGACCATCTGAAATTTCCGCGTCAGCCTCAAAGGCAGCCCCACGTAGAGTGTGTTACAATGGTCTAATCTCGAGATTACGAGCACATGTACTAGAGTAGTGAGCCCCCCCCCCGATCAAGATATGGATGCAGCTGGGCAATCGGCCATAGATGAAAATAGGCGGAGCGGACCACGGACGCCACCTGGGTTTCCATGGTAAGCGCGGGGTCCAGATGTACCCCCAAGCTGCAAACCTCATTCTTTGCAGCAAGGGTCATCCCCCCGAAAGAAAGGGAGTTACCTATACTGCTGACGGAAGGACCACCCACCCTCAAGACCTCCGTCTTGTCCGGGTTCAGCCTCAACCCATTTGACTAGATCCATTCCAGTACAGTCTCCAGGCAGCGCTGGAGGGACAGAAAGGCATCCACTGAGGTAGATGAGAAGAAGATGTAGAGCTGTTTGTCATCAGCATACTGGTGACACAAAGCTCCACACCCCCTGATGACCCCCCCAGCGGCCTCATGTAGATGTTAAACAGCATTGGAGAGATGATCGACCCCTGTGGAACCCCACAATTGAGGCTCCACAGGGTCAAAACCTTCTTTCCAAGCTGTACTCTCTGGGGACAGTCCTCCAAGAAGGAACGGAGCCAAGCAAGCGCTAGGCCACCTATTCCTAACTCAGAGAGCCTCCCCAGGAGGATACCGTGGTCAATGGTATCAAAGACCGCTGAGATGTCAAGGAGGACCAACAAGGACATATTGCCCCCATCGGCCTCCCTCAACAGGTCATCCATCAGTGCGACCAGTGCCGTTTCTGTACCATAGCGCAGCCTGAAGCCTGACTGCCACCACCCTCTCAACCACCTTGCTAAGGAAAGAAACGTTGGCGATGTGCCTATAGTTTCCAATGTCAATGAAAAAGGAAGGAAAAAATAGGGATTCTGTGGGCCACAAAGCAGCTCCCAAGGCCACATGATCACCACTCATCTTTACATCCTCTTTGTTAATTATAATCACATGATTTGTTTATGTTGGAAAGGGATTAAAGTCCAAACAACTTCTAATAGGAGAAGTGAGCATGTAATCACACACTAGCAGAAAATAATCTTATTAAAATGCTTGTTCAAAATTTCCCTCCTTTTATTCTTTATTTACCCTTGTCAAGAAAGATTTTCCAGGCAAGTTAGCCCAAGCAGCAGCTGGACTTGGTAATTTTTCTAACATATAAACCCTCCGGGTTTTAACTGGGAAGGTGGACAGCATGTGTGTTTTTAATATATATTTACCAGAAGTTAATGAACGAAGTCTGTGGCCTTTGGGGCATAGAGCAATGTTGTCTTTAATATTATTTAATATTAATGCAACTCCTTCTTTCTTTCAGGCAACATGTGGCTCCTCCTGAACATTTTTAATTACCAAGCCACTACCAGGCATTTTTTAAATATGCAGGGCTGGCCTGCTGAGCACGATTAAATTTGAACATCAAAACAAAAAAACATTAGGACATTTTTCATCCTTTTTAAACAGTTCAGAACTTTTTGCCCTCTGAAGAATAATGAGTTTCAGCCAGGGTCACAGGAAAACCTCTGCCCCCTTCTGCTGTTGTTCTCTGGAGACTTGTGAAACTCATAAAAATAGTCAATTTGTAATGCTAACATTCAGTTTAATGACATAATGTCTGACACTGCTGCTTGAGAGACACCAGGAACCCTTGTTACTTCCCCTGTCTTAAAAATAAATAAAATAAAATATTCCCTACATATTGTTTTCAACAAAGAGATAGCTATCATGAGATACTGCAATGACTTCATCCATATCTAAACACCTTGCTATCTCTGAACTGTTACAGTTCATAAAATATCTAGGGGATTATTCATTTACAGAAGCTATTTGTTCCTAGGGCCATTTCATATAGCATTTCCTCCATGCAGTCGCATGTAAGACTGTGGAATGGACTTTCTGCTCCACCACAGCCAATTTTTCTATTGTGAAACTTGGGAAGGGGCCATTTGGGATCACAGAAGTCATTGCTGCTGTGCCCATGAAGACAGCAGATCAACATTTCAACATGTTTATACATGCCATGTTAGATCAAAGAGTACAAGGACATAGACAGCATAGGACCTTGGCCAGCTGAGATCCAATTCATACAAACCATTTTTTATTTTGGTGGTTGTGGGTTTTTCGGGCTCTTTGGCCGTGCTCTGAAGGTTGTTCTTCCTAATGTTTCACCAGTCTCTGTGGCCGGCATCTTCAGAGGACAGCACATCTTCAGATGCCGGCCACAGAGACTGGTGAAACGTTAGGAAGCACAACCTTCAGAACACGGCCAAAGAGCCCAATAAACCCACAACAACCATTAGATCCTGGCCGTGAAAGCCTTCACGAATACATTTTTTCTTTCTTTATATGACTGTGTACTCTAGTGCTCTGGATGCAGGTAGCCTTGGATCCAATAGACCAAGAGCCCAATTCAATCCCCAAAGCCTAATTCAATTGGCTATAAGCTCATGAGGCACTGTGGCAGGTAGGGCATTGGGCAGGGTCAAAAATATCAGACTATTTCATTTTAAAGCTCATATGGCCAGTAATTTCCCTAGGAGATGCATTTCAGCTCTTCTTAGTATTGGAGACGACACTTTACAAAAACCAATGGTATCCTCTGTTTTTTTCAGTAGCTTAAGTTTAGCATATAAAATGGTACAAAAAGATGGTAATAAGGACCATAGAAAGAGCATAAGAAAACATAGTTTTTAAAAAGTTTATAGAGTGCCGCCATGCAAAACGAGTTTATATGCTTCTTTCTGAGTAAATTTTACCTTGTTTCTTGGTTAAGTATCTGGTTATGGAGCCAGAGGCTGGGAGTTTGATTCCCTACTGTGCCTCTCTGGAGAAGAGCTAGCCTTTGCAGTCTTGGGCAAGCTCAAGGCCCAGAGCACCAGAGTCCCAGAAGAAGAGAACAATAAACGTCTTCTAAGTACACTCTACTCAATTTCTAGAAAACCCTAGAAAAGGCCACCAGAACTCAGAATTGACTTGACAGATATACCCAATGTGATGTAATGGATAGAGTGAGGGACTAGGGCACAGGAGACCTTGGTTGAAATCCCCACTCAACCATGGTGAGCTGAATTGGTAAATAATAATAACAATAATTGTGTGCTGTCAAACCAATTTTGACTTATGGCAACCCTTTTCAGGGTTTTCTAGGTATACTCAGAAGTGGTTTATAATTTCCCTTCTTCTGGGAGCATCCGGGATTATGTAGCTTGCCCAAGGCCATACAGGCTAGAGCTTCTGAGATATACCGTGGAATTGGAGTCCTTACCTCCAGCTCCAAAGCCCAATGCCTAGCCAACTGAGCTAAATCACTCCATAAATATTTCATGTACCCTACAAACCCTAATGGGGTTCCTTTATTATTTTATTTTATTAAATTTATATACTGCCCCGTTACCATTGGTTACAAATACAATAAAGATAAGTCAAACAAAAATAACATGAACAACATACACAACAACATAAACAAACACAACATGACAGCACATAGGACACACATAGCCCCGATTCTCCACCTACTATCCACCAGGATAGTGGCCACTGATGTTTGCTCGCACAGCTGGCATAAAAATGCCCCTTCCTCCATTCTCTTCTTGGTTTAAAATACAGGACTTGACTCTGAGCAGGGAGACTTGGCTGGAAATCTCTAATGATCTATGAAGGTCTACGTCCTGTTAATCTGATGAGCAGATCAATATGTCTCAGGAAACCCAAACTCACAGAGAATAGAATCTTATGCACACCACCCCAATTTCCTTGGAAGGAAAGGTAGAATACAAAATCTGGTCAATAAAGCCATATGTGTTTGTGCAAACGGCTTGTCTTTTACAAATTTTTCTTAGTGACTACGGCTATGAAAGACATAGTAATAATCAGTGTATCCCAGCATTCTGGTTCAACTTATCATCCCAGATGAAGGAATGCAGTCTTGGACAGAGCTACCTGAACAGCACTGGGTGAGTGAGCCTGTAATGTTGGTTTATTTCCCTGTCTACAGATGCGTGTTTCTATAAAACCCTCCTTTACAGATGCACTTTTCTATAAGTGTTCTCTCCTTTTCTTCCTTTCTCACGTGGTCCTTGCCTTGATAATGTTTTTTTTTATTTAATTGGATGGAATTGGCATGTATTTTTTAAAAATCTGACATGCATATGTTTTAGCTTGTCAAACTGGGTCTTTCATTGTATTTTCCCAATGGAATACAACATTTTTAAGTTGTACTAAGTAAGTAAGTAAGTAAGTAAGTAAGTAAGTAAGTAAGTAAGTAAGTAAGTAAGTAAGTAAGTAAGTAAGTAAGTAAGTAAGTAAGTAAGTAAGTAAGTAAGTAAGTACAAGTATTCAATGTGCAGGACACTTATGGTCTTTTCCATTTTAATGTTTTCCTCTATACATTTTCAGCAGAGTAGAAATTTGGTCTATCCTTGATTTCTTGGCAGAAGGCTGACATATAGTTTGTTCTGATTGCTTGCAATGATAAAGCTTCACATTTCTTTACATTTCCTATTAGCAGTCAGAGTGTATATACAAAAAAAATGGGTTTTGCCCTTGAAACAGGACCTTTTCAATAAACAGCGGAACTCAACAAAAGCCATCATATTCCACAGGTATCGGAGGATTGTTTCAAATAACTGCACAGATGGGCTACAAGAAAAGTATGCAGCCAAGCCAGAACAGTGCCCGGGCAAAGCTCCCCGAGGTCTACATATCCTCACCTCCACTGGCAAGTTGGTAACAGAACAAGGATACAACACTACCTTCATAATCCTCATGGAAGAGGTAGGATCACCAAATTCACCACCCTAGCACAAGTGTTAATACAGAGAGTTGTATCTGGTGGGGTTATTCAACTAGTACCAAATTTCTACTGCTTCCAAAAATCCTATTTTCATCTTTGCATAAGTATCTACTGCTTCCAAAAATCCTATTTTCATCCTTGCATAAGTATCAAATTAAATCATTTGACTCCACTTTTGCAAGCTTTTGCAGGAGCCATTGAACAAACAGTTCTGCACAAAGACTTCATTGTGCTAGATACTGATTTTGATACTTGCATTGTCAGCATTTGCACAACCGCTAGAAGAATGTGCAGAACAACTTGCACATCTGCTAACATTACCTTGGATACAACACAGTATAATCAGTTTTCAATGCACTGTAGGTCAATGGAGACTTGACTTACAGACTTTTTGACTTGAGAACCGCCTTCCAGTACGGATTAAGTTCTCAAGTCAAGACCCCACTGTAAATCATTTGACTCCACTTTTGCAAGTTTTTGCAGGAGCCATAGAACAAACAGTTCTGCACAAAGACTTCATTGTGCTAGATATTGATTTTGATACTTGCATTGCCAGCATTTGCACAACCACTAGAAGAATGTGCAGAACAACTTGCACTTCTGTTAACATTACCTTGGATACAACACAGTGTTTCTTTCCATCTCTTCTCTACTCCCTTACTGTTTTATATACATAATCCTCTTTAATTCTTAGGTTAGAAAAGGTTTCTTTGGGATGACAACTCTCAGAGTCCCTGCTAAGATAGGAGCCCAGTAAGAGATTTAGCCTAATGAGGCCCATATTTTTATACTCCTCTTATGTTTACGAGTAGTGGAAATAGTGTGAGATATTTGTAGACATACAGCATGAAAGATATTTTGCAGAACACCATAGTAATTACTGGTGGGAAATTTGTATCTTTGGACAGAAAGTATGCCTTTTGGTCCAAGATACAAATTTCCTTCTACAGACAAAAAGAAAATGACACTGTTATAAATTTCTCAGTATTTCCTTCAAAGTCATCAGTGATTTGGAGTTTGAATAACTAAAAGATTTGAAGGGTTCTCATTTTGTTCCCTTATTGTTTCTCTGGTTTGCTTTGGCTTGCATTCTTCTCCCCTGATTCTTCTCCCTTTTAACTAGAAGAATTTTTAAAATTAGTTGTTGGGAAAATGTGTAAGATTTGCTTCAGCTGCAAACATTTTTTCAATTAATTGTTACTTTTCCCACAATTACATTGTTGTTGTTTATCCATTAGTCGTGTCGGATTCCTTCAAAGTCATCAGTGATTTGGAGTTTGAATAACTAAAAGATTTGAAGGGTTCTCATTTTGTTCCTTTATTGTTTCTCTGGTTTGCTTTGGCTTGCATTCTTCTCCCCTGATTCTTCTCCCTAGAAGAATTTTAAAAATTAGTTGTTGGGGAAATGTATAAGATTTGCTTCAGCTGCAAACATTTTTCAATTAATTGTTACTTTTCCCACAATTACATTGTTGTTGTTTATCCATTAGTCGTGTCGGACTCTTCGTGACCCCATGGACCAGGGCACGCCAGGCCCTCCTGTCTTCCACTGCCTCCTGGAGTTGGGTCAAATTCATGTTGGTAGCTTCAGTGACACTGTCCAATCATCTCATCCTCTGTCGTCCCCTTCTCCTCCTGCCTTTACACTTTCCTAACATCAGGGTCTTTTCCAGGGAGTCTTCTCTTCTCATGAGATGGCCAAAGTATTGGAGCCATGTGAAGCAGAAGACATCAAGACCATTTTTGTCCTTTATCAAGTCCATCTTTGCACAAAATGTTCCTTTAATATCTCCAATTTTCTTGAACAGATCTCTGTTTTTTCCCTTTCTGGTATTTTCCTCTATTTCTTAGCACTGTTCATCTAAGAAGGCCCTCTTGTCTCTCCTTGCTATTCTTTGGAAATCTGCATTCAGTTTTCTATAACTTTCCCTATCTCCCTTGCATTTTCTTTTCCTTCTCTTCTCTGCTATTTGTAAGGCCTTGTTGGACATCCACTTTGTTTTCTTGCATTTCTTTTTCTTTGGGATGGTTTTTGTTGCTGCCTCCTGTACAATGTCACAAGCCTCCATCCATACTTTTTCAGGCACTCTGACCACCATATCTGGTCCCTTAAATCTGTTCTTCACTTCCACTGTGTATTCTCCAGCAGAATAGGTTTTTTTTAAGTTTGTGTCCCACCTATAAAACTGGAAAAGTAATCCAGGCTTGTGTTTGCCTTACTTTAGTGCTGGCAGGGAGGGGACAGTGACTTCTTTTGCACACAGCAGTTGAGTCTAGGGGCACAGGTTGAGCCACATAGCATATGTAAGTCTTCTGACATATTGCCTCCACTTCCCAGTTCTCCATAGCATCTGCTGCCTTGAGCAGCCAGCTGACTCTGTCTAATAGTCAGGGTTGATTCAGAATTCATCTTGATCAGGATCCCTGTAGAGATCCTGTTTCTCCTGTTTTTGCTCCAGATTGTCTTCTCCTGAGTGAATTCTCTTTTAATTCCAGGCTGATATAATGCAAAGCTTGGTATAGATGCAGATGTGCAAGAGGAAAAAACAGAATCACAGAGTTGGAAGAGACCACAGGGGCCATCAAGTCCAACCCCCTGCCATTCAAGAACACGATCAAAGCACTCCTGACAGATGGCCATCCAGCCTCTGCTTAAAAACCTCAAAAGAAGGAGACTCCACCACACTCCAAGGCAGCATATTCCACTGCCGACCAGCTCTGACTTTCAGGAATTTCTTCATAAGATTCTGGTGGAATCTCTATTCCTAACGTTTGAAACCATTGCTCCTTGTCCTAGTGTCTGGAGCTGTGAAGAACAAACCTGTCCCTTCCTTGACATGACATTCCTTCAAACATTTAAACATGGCTATCATGTCCCCCCTTAACCTTCTTTTTGTAAGGCTAAACATTCCCAGCTCTCTAAGCCGCTCCTCATAGGACATGGCTTCCAGACCTTTGATCATTTTGGTTGCCCTCCTCTGGATGCGTTCCATGTTGTCAACATCCTTCTTGAATTGAGGTGCCCAGAACTGGACACAGTACTCCAGGTGAGGTCTGACCAAAGCAGAATAGAGTGGTACTATCACTTCTATTGATGCAACCAAGACTTGCATTGGCTTTCTTGGCAGCCACATCACACTGCTGACTCATGGTCAGCTTGTGGTCTACCAAGACTCCTAGATCCCTTTCACGTGTGTTTTCCATCCTATATCTGTGCAGTTCATTTTTTTTCATCCTAGGTGTAGGACCTTACATTTCTGGCTATTGATTTTGTTAGTTTTGGCCCAGGACTCTAATCTGCCAAGGTCATTTTGAATTTTAATCCTGTCCTCTGGGGAATTATCAACCCCTCCCAATTTGGTATCATCTGCAGATTTAATCAGCATATTCTCTATTCCTTCATCCAAGTCATTGATAAAGATGTTGAATAGCACAGGGCCCAGAACAGACTGAGGCACCCCTCTAGTTACCTCTATCCAGGATGAAGAGAAGCCATTGGTGAGCACCCTTTGTGTTTGGTCAGTCAACCAATTACAAATCCACCGACAGTAGCACTGTCTAGCCCACAGTAGCACTGTTTAGCCCACATTTTACTAGCTTCCTTACAAGAATATCATGGGGAACTTTGTCAAAGGCCTTACTGATATGCTATATCCACAGCGTTCCCTTCATCTATCAAGCCTGTAACGCTATCAAAAAAAGAGATCAGACTAGTCTGGTATGACTTGTTTTTGAGAAGCCCGTGTTGACTTTTAGTAATGACAGCATTTCTTTTTAAGTAATAACAAACTGTCTGGTTAATGATCTGCTCTAGAATTTTCCCGGGAGTTGATGTCAGGCTGACTGGGTGATAATTATTTGGGTCTCCCCCCCCCCTTTTTGAAGGTGGGGACGACATTTGCTCTCCTCCAGTCTGTGGGGACTTTTCCTGTTCCCTAAGAATTCTCAAATATTATTGCCAATGGTTCTGAAATTACTTATGCCAGTTCTTTTAACATCCTTGTATGTAATCTGTCTGGCCCTGGAGACTTGAATTCATTTAGAGCAGCCAAGTATTCCTGTACTACTACTCTACCTATTCTGTGCTGCGTTTCCCCCACTACATCACCTGCTCTTCGCCTCTCACGTCACCTGCTCTTCGCCTCTCAGGTTGAGCACTATTTTCCTTTTTGGAGAAAACTGAGGCAAAGAAAGTGTTGAAAATTCAGCCTTTTCCCTGTCCTCTGTTAGTAGTTGGCCATCTTCTCCACTCAATTACCCTTTCATGTCATTGTTTTTCCTTTTGCTGAGGGCATAACTAAAAAAGCCCTTGTGTTGTTTTTTTTAAACACTTAACAAATCAGAACACTCGTAGTAATCTGTTGAGGATCGCAAGCATGACGTCCTCACATAACGGGTGGTAGACAAAAGGCAAGAACAGGCCAAGGAAGGATTGAGAGATTTTCTAGGGAAGAGAAGCTATACAGGATAAAGGTTTTGAAACTGAGGGCAGGAATACTGACTTCAACTGCCAGCTCTTCCACTATGTTGTGCTGTAGCATGAGCACCATCATGACTGTATTAGTGTCTTTTCCTATCTTTTGTATATCCCTTCAATTTTGATATCCACACCTGTTGTTCTTTGTGTTCCATCAATCCTCTTACAGCTCCTGTATCTCCCTGCTTTTTTTCTTTTTCTAATAACTTTCATGTTTTAAAAGAGCAAAGGAGCATTAATCATTCAATGTCAATAAACTGTGGGAGAAATCCAGTAGTAAGTCTCCGCTAGAGTAGGCCAGTTGAATCAACACAGTTTGGTGAGTCAAGTTCCATAAATTTAATGGGCTGCTGTAGTTTCAGTGTACGCTGGATTTCAGCTGGGGGCGGGAGGGGTTCATATTGATTTTATACCAGTAGTGAATTCTGTGCTACTAAATTTATGTGTTCATTTTCAACTTGTAGTGTAATTTATAGTACTCGAGCTTTTTTTCCCCTTTCTGTCCTGAGAACCAGGTGTTGCAGAACAATCATGACTGGGAAGGTGGCACCTGGGAAACCTTTTTCTTGGTCAGATACTCACAAACACTGCTCCGTTTTCTAGAGCCAATCTGCCACTGGCACTAGCCAGAGCATCTTTCCCATCTACTTTGAATTTAATTAATTTATTTTGTACCAGGCTAGGGACAGGGATTAGTTTATGTGTCAGCAATAGCACAAGTATAGACAGGAGATTCCATAAACAGTAGAGGGTTTTGTTGGTTGGTTTGTTGGTTTCCTTATTTCCATGTTTGTTTGTTTTAGGATTAATATTTTTTTATCCTCAAATGTGTGTTCTTGGAAATAACAGTTATCCAGGTACAGTTTCAAATTTATCAAGGGATAAATGCCCTATGGCAAAGTGATTCTTAACTTCTGGTGTTCCGGATATTTTATGTTTCAGTCCCCAGACTCCATTATGGCTAGTTGTAGTTTGCAAATATATGAAAGAATATATGCCTTTGCTTGAAAAAGAAAAAGAAAATGGGGGAATGTGGGAAGCTCCTGCCCAAGGCTGTTAGTTGTTACTCTGTTTCAGTGAGAGCAAACTCTCCTGGCAGAGAAGTAGCAGCTGCCAGCGAGTGGGGTAACATACTTCTTCTGCCCTTTTCCCTTAGAGTTAGATCATAAGTTCAAAGACTTTCTCTGGCCAATCCTAGTGAGAATTAGGTAACCAGTATCCTATCTGAATTCTCACAACATATGATGTAAGCCTTGCTAAATTAATAAAGAGAGTTCTCAAGGTGTTCCTTTTAAGCTCCGCTGGCTCAGACATCTGCTTGTCGACTTTTTTGCAACTTCTCTAAAGTTAATTGCTTTCCTTTTATTCCATGATCATCTACAGCTAGTCATACTGTATGAGACATCTGGGAATTAGTTCAGAATTTTGAGAATATCAAAGGTTGAGAGCCACTGTAAATAAATAACAGTGAACCCGAATGTCACTGCTAGTATGATACTGTGCCATGTTTCTCCTGTGAAGAAACACTGATGTTTTAGGTATTCTAAGTTGTGCCACGTCGAGATACACTGAGTGTTGTGGGAGGTGAATATCAGATTTGCAATGGAGAAGCAATGTAACCAAGTGAGCAAATTCTCTCACTTCTTTTTTTTTATTTCCATGCCACCTTTCTCCCAGAGTTTTGCTTATTTCACCACTTTTGTTATCAGGTATTAGGAACCCTTAGTTCACAGGCTTAATGCAAGCTAGCAGAGGGTTCCTTATGGCCCTTCAGCTTTCCAGTTCTTGTCTCTGATCAGAAAGTGCATTAATGAATCTGCAAGAGACTATGTCACACCAGTAAACCACCTATTGAATTCTGGCATGCTTACACATACTAGAAAGAAAGATAAATTCACTGGTCTCTTAAATCTCTAAATGGATCCAAATCCATCCACCACTGCTACCCCCTCAGTTTTATGAGTTGCCTTTTAGATTGCCAGACTTTGCAATTATTTAAAACTGATGTGCTGAATTATTAAAAGAACTGTGTCCTAAATACAATGCTGGTTGATCTGAAGTACATATCTTCTTCTCCACTTCTGGTATTTGCATTTGGAAATACCCAGTCACTATTTACACACACGGCCATCCCTGCGGCTTTCCAAGGTGACTTATATGTAACTGACATTTTTCACTCAATCCCCATTAGTTGTCAACTGTACTTGAAGTTTACAGACTTGTGAGCTTTACAGCAGACCATTATCACATTTCTATGTGATATTTTACAGGACTATAAGAAGTGCCTCTTGAATCTATCTGGAGAGTAGTGATTGTTATCCATTTGAAATGCCTCCACTTCATTTCCACTTTAATTTATATTCATAAACTAGGGAATAGCTGACATTGTATGTGTGGTGGATGATACACCTTTATGCAGTGGGAACACAGTTAAGGAAGGGATTAGCAGAGCATTGCAATGCAGAGTAAGCTACAAAGTCTGAAAATAGGATTTGCTCCTCTTTTGCTTTGAAAATTCTGCTTTTACACTTAAAAGCAATGAACAAAGATGGGGATTGATGGTAAACTGCAAGGCAAGTTAATCAAGAAATATCCTCCCATTCACCTCTACCACAGTGGGAAATTCCTCTCCCCCCCCTTTTTTTCTCTTTCTTTCTTTCTTTCTTTCTTTCTTTCTTTCTTTCTTTCTTTCTTTCTTTCTTTCTACCCAGTTTTTCTCCCTTTCTTTCTTTCTTTCTTTCTTTCTACCCGGTTTTTCTCCTAAAAAAGGACCCAAGGCAGTTTACATCATTAAAAACATAATATTAAAAGCCAAAACAGTAAATTATTTAGATATTTTAAAATAATTTATAATATTATATTACAAATGTAAAAAGCATTACCTAACTTTGCTTTGATGACTAGGGCTGAGGAGAATTGCCATCCCACAGAGCTGGAAGGCCACATTTTCCTCATCTCTGGATTAGAGGAAAAGAATATGACTGACAAAGAAGAGGTTGATTAAATGTTTGGTCTATTTGTTTAAAACAGCTTTTTTTAAAATATATATATATATCATATATTAGACTCATGTTCCCATCAGCCTAGGAGTTATAACCCAAAAACTCAAGTCTACATATCTCTCATTTTTCTTTCTCTCTCACAAAGGACAGTAGGAATGTGACAATAGTCTCTTTGTCTCTTGATACACACCTGCTTTTGTACTTATGTATTATGACATGTTCATCCTACTCATTTTGTTTTGTTCCAAGTGCCTGCAGTGTGTGTCTCTGTTCAAGGGAAAGACTATCATGCATGTGAAGCTGTAAGAAAAGAAACACAATAGTCTTAAGTCTAGGATACAGCTTGGAGGAGAAGGTCAATGATCTGCCATTAAGCTATTGCCACAGCAACAATTAAGCATCTTCACTCTGTACCCCAGAGCTCTAGTAATCTGTCAGACAATAAAAGGAAGCACTTTCCTGATCTCATGATATTTTTCCCTTAGACAGATCACCAGCATTGTGATAGCCTATTGTGAAAGCATTTACTCTAACCTCCAATCAAACATGAACCCAAGTTTCTCCAACTTGGTGACATATAGCATCTCTGTCTTGTTAACAGCTTCATTTTCTTCTTTGGGGATTCATTGCAAAGAACAAGCTACCCTGAGACATTGTTCTCTAGAACAGAGTCATAATTAACTCTTTCAAAGGACTTTGTTAGCAGATAAACACAGAGGCCCCAATCCTTACTTTGGATTGACATTTCAGTTTAGCTAACTGACACTGAAGTCACTGAGGCTCATTTGTTTTAAACCAAACCCTTAAGTTTAATTGGTCTTCTAACGCTAATGGATATACATTTCACAGACTGGACTAAAAGTGGCATTGTGTTAGCCAGATGTCACTGGGTCCATTAGCCCTTTATAGATGTGGCATTTATTTGATTAGATCTAAATGAGCAGGGAGAGCATCAGGCAAACCTGGTATGGACATGGATGAAGAATTTTCAGTGGTTGCTCCCAGACCTAGTCTCCCATGGGAGACCAGGCTGGTCCCCCTCTCTTATGAATTACTCCTTTGTTGTCTTTCTCTTACTACAGACTGAACTCTTTTGTTCTATTGTTCATGATCCCTCTCTGTACTGTTCACTATCCTTTCTGTTCTCATCCTAACTCTTCATAAAATGTCTTCATTTAGAAGCTGAAGCTTGACTGTATTTTTCACCAACCAATTTTTGAAGGATTTTTCCACCACATGCCAGAGATTGCCTTTACATATAGCATACGTAGGCTGTTGGAGGGCAAAGAGAAATTGATGTTTATTTGCTTAGCAGGGACTGACCAAGTCACTAAGATTTGCCTCCTTTTTATTCTATAGCCTTAGACTTCCTCTTAATTGAGACATGGGATGAATTGAGGCCAGAATCCTGTTGATATTTATGTAAGGTTTTCAGGATTAGCCATGGTGAGTTGGATTGAGTTGCTGTGTTGCCATGGTGACTCCCTGAAGTGCAGTCAGGCATGTGACCAGGCATGTGACCATGACATTGTGCCATATAAGTAGATACCATATCATTCCTGGACCCAGCTTGGGCCCCCTTTTGGAGAAAAATAGGATTGATTGATTGATTGATTAAAGCCATTTTAAATTAAACCATTTCCAGTAAAATGCCATTTCAAAATATTCTTCAGCAGTGAATAGCATACAAATTTTGAATTATCACCAGGAAGAAGAGTCCAAAAATCCTCTTAAAAGCAGGTACACATATCTTTCGGGAGAAAATGTTGGGAGGGGAACGACCACCACTGAAAAGGCATTGTTCTTGATGTTATTCTTGTTTACAGTGATTTTTTTCTTTTACAGGAAATTAAAAATAACATATTTTCCTTTAAGCAAAAGGTGACCTATAAGTATAATGCACCACTTCAAGATTCAGTCACATCATGCTAATGTATATTCACCTGACTAATTTTAGAATTCTTAAGCATGGCCCACATCTAGACAGCAAATCTGTAGACTTATATACGGGGGAAATATAATGCACCAAAATTATGTAATGCACTCGTTAATATTCATCATGTCTGTCTTTTTTATCCCTGTGAACCAAGAAATATTGGAAAGTAGCTTACTGGATTGTGGGAAGAATGACACAGTATATGAGCCATGTTCATGATAAACAGGGTTTCCTTTAGTAACAATTTACCATATAACACAAATAACTCTTTTCTAATTGTTTGGTTTATTCCTAAACAGTTGCAACTTGCCCCTGCAAGGTATGTAATTTCACAGCTGTGTTCCTTCCTGCAGGGTGATCTCCAGAGGACAAATATCCAGCTAGATTTTGGAGATGGGACTGCTGTCTCTTATGCTAACTTCAGCCCTATAGAGGATGGCATCCGGCACATTTACAAGACCACTGGGATCTTCCAAGTGACAGCCTATGCAGAAAATAATCTGGGCTCTGATCTGGCAGCACTCTTCTTGCACGTGGTCTGTAAGTAGATCCCAAAGAATGAGCTCTGAGTAGTCCCTCCATTGGCTGCAGACACACTTAGGTCCAGGAAGGCACAATTTGACAGGATGAGGCATGTGCCTAAGGCAGAATATTTGTGATACCAAGACAGAAGAATGTTGTTTATTTATTATTTACTAATCACTTTTCATATACTATTATAACTTAATGATCATGTTTTTATTGCTATGGATGAGGAAAGATGTTTTGCTTCAAATACGAGAAGAAGTTGGTTGGATTTGGAAATGTGCAGCATGATGTTGGGAGATCATTTTCTGCATCTTTTTAAAAATGACACAACATTCTTCACCAGCCTTATGTCATCCATACAAAAACTCGATAATATACCTTCTTAATGTTCTTTTCCTTGATGAATTCCAATTGCTATTCAGTGTCAGCACATATATTTCTTAAAACATTTATCTTCTCAGTTGTCCAATTTGTTCCATTTTAGGGTAATCCCCATGACAGAAATGTAATGTCAAAACTTATATTCAACATTTTGCTATTCTGCAGAACTGCTCCATGATTTTTTCCCTCAGTCTTGTGCCTTTAATACTGCATGAACTTTTTAGAAGCATATTGCTACATTTTGTACATGTTAAAACAGATTTGTACTCTTTTTATTGATTAATTGGGATTATTGCAGTTTCATAAATAAGACATACAGGGAGTCTTGTATCCCACTGGAATAGTATGCCTGGAATGTATAAAATGTCTTTCCTGCATTTATGAGTTCAATGAATTCATGCGCATTGCATTGAGTGATCTTGCTGTTTGTTCTTTACATAGTTTTTCTGCATCAAATTCAAAGGAACATTATAGTTATAGATAACATTATAGTTGTTTTAACAATTTCACTGGAATATTTGACAGTGTGTAAGCAGTGAAATAACTGTAGTACTGGTTACATTTTCATATGATTATGAACACCTAACTCTACTGGCCTTGTTCTTCCTTTCCATGCACATGACAATAGATTATTGTCCATAGCAAAGGGCTAAGTCAATAGTCAGGTGTACACCTTGGCATCACCCTTCAAATGACTGATGATAACACAAGTACTTCATCAGTGAGAAGAGACTGCAGGACTGAATGTACCATTATTATCTTCAGTCTTTCCTTTCATGTTTGAATGGGTGATCCGTAGTATCACTATTAATAAAAGTGACAAAGAAAAAAATGTAGTCATTGTATAAAATCCAAAAATAGCAGTTGATATTGCCTTTATTGAACCACTGAAATGTTAAACATGGCAAGCTTTCATAATCAGCTGGGCACTGGAGAGCTTGAGGGAGTAAGAGTAGGACTGGGAAGAACAAAAAAGTCTAAACATTGTCCTGATAGAGCATTGTAAAGATTTGTGTTCAAGCAGTTCCCAAAATGGAGCCTGTAAACTTGCTGTTACATGAGTCTGAGACGTCAGATTTCGTTTCAAGCAATGTAGGTTGAATTGTTCTTGTCTATCACTGTGGGGAAAGGATGGTGTGAGGGTTCAGGCTTTGAGTCTTTTGAATCCATAATAAAATCCAGAGGCCTTTTTAACTTTGAAACAGGGGAAAGGTTTATTGGAGTATTTAACAAAAAATCAGTGCCCATAAGATTGTTCCATAACTTCTTGCCTGCTGCCAATGGGTCTGACGGGGTACCCAAGCATCATTAAGGAATGTATTGGTTTCACTCATGTTCCAGGGGCCCGGCCATCCAGTTGTAATGTCACCTTTCAGAACCTCTCCAACCTCTCCTTCCAATAAGGGAACGGCCTTGTCCTCTGTGGGATTGGTCCACCCAGCATTTCTTGCTGGGGAGAAGGTTGACCAGGATCCTCCCGGTAGTCTCTCCTCCTCATTTCCTCTACTCTCCATGCCAACCTTTCCCTCTTTTCCCTTTCGGCCTTCTCCTTTTCTTCCCTCAAACTCCTCCACCACTCCTGGGCTTCGGCTTCACCCCAATAAGATGGTCTGGGTGGGATCTTCCCCCTTCGATGGTAATCTGCCTCCTCCTTAGGCACTCGTAGACATTCCCATTCTCCAGTCCATGGGTCCTGCAACCAAACCCATTCCCAACCTGGCGGTAACAGGTTTTCTCTCCCTTTTATCTCTGCCGTCCCCGCCTCAATCTCCACCGTCTTTTTCCTTCTTGTTCCCACCAAATTGTCTGGAGTTTGAATGGCGCAACTCCCTCTCCAGGTCCTGGGGGTCAGTACCCTTTTGTTCTGTTCTTCTGGGAGCTGGAGTGGATGAGGTCTGTACCTCCATTTTTGTTCTTTGTGGAAAGGACGGCACTCCAGTGAGAGACTCCTTTCACTTGCCCCCGATCTCACAGATGCCAGTCAAAAAGTGTGCTATATATTGTTTTGAAGCATATAAATCCTGTTTGGTTAGGTGCAGAGGCCCATAAAAACAGACATATGTCTTTGTCAGAAAAGCTGGAGATTAAATTTAGTTGACACTGGCTAACATCCTGTTCTGTAATTACACTGGTAGAAGGGAATTGGTGTAACGTGCAGTGGCTAATTCATTAATTAGGAAATCCCCAATCAGCTTCTTCACTGTACACCAGTTGGGTAGCTTGGCATATGACCAAGAATCCAAGTGAGGATTTGTTAATTAGCAGTATCTAGCTGTTTCAAGTCATGCCATTTTCTTTCCACTGGCATAACTACAGAACATGATTTTGACTGCTGTTTACCAGCCCAATGAAGGATCCTGCTGAACTGAAAACCATACCTATTTTAAATATTCTAATGGTCCAGTAAAGTATTATGCACACTTGTTTTTGGATGTTAACCTGAATGGGACTGTCATTACATACATGTGGCTCATCTCAGGTTTTTTGGCCTTAGTAACCACACACATTTTTTCCTGTGCAGCTAAGGAAGTGTACATGGTCCACATAAATGTCTAGTGGATTGGGATGGCGTATTCCTAGTTTGTCATGGTGATGGCATTATGTGAGGAGCCATGTTATGTTGGGTTTCTGGTTTTCCCTTTGGCACAAGTATTATGCAAAATAGCCATAGGAAATTCAGATCTCAGAGTGTGAAGTATGGAATGCCAACTCTGGGTTTGAAATTCAATCCTTTCAGCTATTCATTTTAGCTCTATCCAAAACCAAAGATGCCACTGTTGTTTCATGATTTATTATAGGTGAAGGGAATAAAAAGATTATGGGGTAGGGCAGTATAGAGGGTCTGCCAAGTTTTCTTCATTGAAGGTTGTCAGCCGTGAAAGGAAGAGCAAATCTCTTTTACAAGAAGTGGTTGATTCCCAGACCCAGGTCTGTGAATGGTTTGTTGATGACAACATGCACCAAAAAAGAAGGCTAACACAAGAACTTTTATAATTTATAATTTCCTCAACCACAGGAACCTGTTGTAACCTCAAATTTGAGATCTGACATGTGTTATATCAGTACTGAAACTACAGAAATCCCATGCTAGTGTTAGCCTAATGTAAGCCAAAAGGCAATGTTGTGTTCTCTTGCCACTAGCTGTGTTCTAATTGCCACCTAGGATATACTTAGGAGAATATTTTAAGGGAACATGTGGGAAGTATTTCCACTTCTTATTCACTGGCTCTAAACCTTCATTTTGTTCTGTACAGCTCATAATCTTGGTTTCATACCAGCATGACATTTCTTTAACAGCTCACTATAAGTAGTAAGAAAATCATTGAATTAACTTACAGAGAGAGATTGGTTCAAGACTGGAGAAATGGAAACATCTAGTATCTATGGATTGAAAGAGAATTAAGCAGTTTAAATGCACCCCCTGAATTCTTGGCATAATATGAATTATGGCTAAAAACCTCGAGCTATGCAGAAGAAAGTGCAGGGACCTACAGAAGAGAATTAGCTTTAAGTCTCCCCAGAGTAGCCCACCTTTTATTGGTTGTCTCAACAACTGGGTCTGAGACATTTGGTAAGAGAAAGAATAAAAGGCTTCAATTTACTCACAGTTCTGAACAGATCAAAAATAGCATATTGTAGAAAAATGATTGGTTACACAAACAGACCTTAACTCACTCATAGTTACATGACTAACAGCGTGGCTGGCAGCAGACTACCACATAACTAACGCTAACATACTACATAGCTGACTCTAGCTGAATACTGACTGAAAAGAGCAGGGAAAGGACTCTTAAGCAGAGAGGAGTGGTTCTCTTAAAAATCAGAAGCAGAGAAGGAACAGTTGGTTATCACTGAATTGATTGACAGCCACCCAACCCCAGAAAGTTCCCTGCCAACAAAAACTCTTAAGGGCAGCATACAAAGGTTGCTAAAATTCCTAGATGAATGAGACATGAGGAGGGTGAGATGAAAGGTCTTTTCAGTGGTGGTGCCTGGTTCTGGAATGCTCTCCTCAGATGAGAATTTGCTTATCATTTCATTTTTAATACCTGGAAAAGACATAGTTATTTCCCTAGGTTTTTAACCTTTCCATCGGCTGTATTATTGCACTTAGATTCTTGCAGTGTGGCTTCTATGAATCTTCCATAGGCTTTGTCAGCATAATCAGCATAATGGTGAAGAATGGTGGGAGCTGCAGTCCAAAAGCTATCTGGAGAGTTACATTTTGGCCAACCTGATCTGTAGTAATTTAATATACTAGTCTTTTTATTTTACATTTTGGCCAACCTGATCTGTAGTAATATACTAGTCTTTTTATTCAGCTAGGCACGATCTTCCTGAGATTCAGAAAGACTACTTTAAAAATTATTATTACATATGTCATACACTTTTTCTCATCCTTGGCCCCACCCTGAAGAAGATATCTCAGCACATCAAGACATACTGCTAAGAAAAAAAAAGATGTGAAAAAATGGGCCCCTGGGAGAAATCATCCCCCCTGCCCATTGAAAACCTTGTGTTGTGTGCAAAAAACAAAACAAAACAAAACACCAAAACCACAAGGTTTTCTGCATGAAGTACAGGTTTTTCAGCACAGAAAAACTTCTGCATTTTTTTTTACAAAATGTGGAAAATACATTAAAATACATTACTTGTGTTATCTCACCAGTGGGGACAGAACAATAGAGATGTTTCATTCTTTTCTATGAGAACAGTATAAACAAAGATTTACATCCTTAGCACAAAATTAGTATCAGACGGATACATTTACTTAACCTTTTCTGATATTAAATATCCTTGATAAACTCTTAATAGGAGTTCTCAAGATTTACATCCTTAGCACAAAATTAGTATGAGCCGGATACATTTACTTAATTTAATACATTTCTGATATTAAATATCCTTGATAAACAATAGGAGTTCTCGAATTTGTACAGGTATTACGTCTTGGACAGGGACAGAACATATATCCTCACTAATGATTCTTTCCCTGTGTTGATGTCTTCCCTGATCAGTTTGTGCATTGTTATAGATGTTCTTTAATGCATACAGACTGACAAGTACTGTAATTTGGAAAGTCACCTTCTGAATGCAAAATGTGATATTAGAATTGGCCCAGAGAATAAGAATATGTTGATTAAGTGTGAGATCTCCCACCTGCTTGCAATTAGAACAGTTTACCTGACTGTAATATCTGAGTATCCACAAGAAACAATACATTATTCTAAATATGGCCACTGCACAACAATGATAAATTAAAATTCAGTTCCAGACATGCATGCTAACAGAAACAATGGAGGAAAACAGATGGAGGAAAAGTTAAAGTTTCAGTACAAAACTTCAGTTCAAAAAACTCCCCCCCCCATCTGTTTTGATTCTTTCCTCCTTTTTTTGGTTTCCTATTGGTGAAAAATTAAATGGCTAATTTCTTAAATGCATAACTTGCCATCTGCTGCATTGGGTTGAGGAACAAGTTGCCTGTGTATAAGTATCCTCTTTTGCCTGGCACTATTTTTTTCCCTTTTCAGAATATCTCTTCTGTCAGAAAGCAAACTTCCTGACAGTGACTGTATTGTACATATCAGGTGTTATGGTTGTCATATTGACAACTGCATATTGACATGCACTTGGTGTAACATTCAGTTATGTAGGTGATATTTTAGATGCCTTTCCTTCATATGGTTTCATTGCTACTGATTCACATGCAACATTATGCTGAAAAGGCATATATAATATTCATTGAATGTCCATGTGAAGTATATCACGAGTGCAGTAGCTGGGGAAGGACAAGGCCCTGCTTACAAGGAGACATGTCCCTGAAACGTACACTCAGATGTGCCGTGCATAACTCATAAGGCATATGTAGAGCCAGAAAACATTACTTTTTCTAGACAGCAACTTCCAGAATCTCCAGTGAATGTTGACTGGAGTATTTTGGGATATGTGGTTCAAAAAGATGATATGAGTGCACAATAGAATATTATCCCTTAGCTTTCACCATAATAACCCAATTAGCTTGGTAGTTGTGG